GGGGGGGGGGGGGGGTGGGGGGGGGGGGTGTTGGGAGAGATGGGCACGGCTTGGGCTGTTAAATAAACATAAAGCTATCGAGGGAAAGAACGGTTTACCCAAAAATATAAAACCTGATTAGTGATATTGACACGGAGAACGCTAAGAGATCTCACGGAGGCCGTAATTTGAGCGGTCATTTACACGGGCAGACACTAAAGGGACAGAGGTCATTAAGGCTTGGGTGCGGGAGGAATTGGAGGATGGATTATAAATAATTTATGATTTAATGTTTACTCCATGTCGGGTTTAGGGCTGTCAATAATTGGGGAAAAAATACCCGCCCGGGTACCCGTCCACCCGTTAACTGGGTACCCGACGACCCCACGTAACCGGGTACCCGTCGACCCACGTAACCGGGTACCCGTCCAGGAAGACAAGGTGAGTCCATTGGTCTTTCATCTTGGTCACCATGATGGTCCCCCGACACCAGCCGCTTTTACTATTCGCCCATGTGATGGATGGTCTTAACTTTTACAGTCTGTTTCAGAAATATCTTCAACTGAAAGATCACCACTATTACTTTTTTTTCTTTTTTTTTCATTTTAATACGCGCTACATCGACTCGTTTGACTGTTTCACCACCAACAATTGCTAATCTAGTGCCCCAAGATGACCTTTGCACTCTCGCAACTTTGTTTTTTAATTTATTTATTTATTTATTTATTTATTTTTTTTAAAAAAATACCCGCATTTACAGTGTAAACATGTTTCACTCACCATTTCAGAAAAAACCACAGAAAATATTACTCACCAAACGCACTTGCGATATGATATACTCTTTTTAAGAGTCTCATTTAGCGCAGTCATGGGAAATTTCCTTTTATCTTCCCCTTGAAAAACAGGGAAATAAAAGGATTTTTTTTTTGGGGGGGGGGGGGGGGTTGGGTTGGGGGTGAGGGGGGGGCTGAAATAGAATCTTTTGTAATGGGCATTAAGTCTATACCATGTGCCAAGTTTCAGCTCAATAGCTTGACGGGAAATGGGTCAATCAGCCGTTCGAAGATTTCGCCACACAGCCAGCCACACAAGAAAAAGTGAAGTGGGTGGTAGTTTGGGAGACATCAGAAGGGCGCTAGTGGCCATAAATGTTGAGTTGAAAACAATTTCTGATGAGAGATGGTATCGGTTTTTGCTAATGATTTTAAAATATTGTTTCTTAACTCGAGTACCCGGGCAGTTAACCCCGGACTGGTGCCCGAATATTACCCGGGCAGTTAACCTCGGACTGGTACCGGAATATTACCCGGGCAGTTAACCTCGGACTGGTGCCCGAATATTACCCGGGCAGTTAACCTCGGACTGGTACCGGAATATTACCCGGGCAGTTAACCTCGGACTGGTGCCCGAATATTGCCCTGGCAGTTAACCCCGGACTGGTACCCGAATATTGCCCGGGCAGTTAACCCCGGACTGGTACCCGAATATTGCCCGGGCAGTTAACCCCGGACTGGTACCCGAATATTGCCCGGGCAGTTAACCTCGGACTGGTACCGGAATATTGCCCGGGCAGTTAACCCCTGACTGGTACACGAATATTGCCCGGGCAGCAAGCCTCAGGTGGGTATCCATGCTCCGTTTAGAGCCCTAGACGGGACTCACAAATGTTTATTTATTGTTTTAAAATGCTAACTGTTTAAAAAGAAAAAAAAAATTGTTATTTCAAGACATTTTTAAGTTGGTATTTTAACGTATTGCAACTACTTTAGCTATTGTAGCCATTGTAGCTATTGTAGCCATTGTAGCCATTGTAGCTATTGTAGCCTGTGTAGCTACTGTAGCCATGGTATAAGCCATTCCTCCGACACCGAGTCTCTAATATAACAATTAGAAAACAATTGAGATGGCACAATAATACCCTATGTTTGTCGACCCCCCCCCCCCCAATCTCTTATATCTTTTATAAAGCGACTTTTCTTCAGTTATTCAGTTCCACTATCTACTTAATTTGTTGTGTCTAAAACTGCATTACATGCATTTTTTTTGTCCTTCACTTTAAAAAAATATAAAAAAATCATGTTTATTCTTTAAATATAATTTATTGTATTGCTCTTCTAAAACTAAAATGTTCACAGTATTACTATTACTATTCATGAACACAACATGTGCAATTTAACGGCATATAAAGAAAAAAAAAAAAGAAAAAAAAAAAAAAAGAGGAAAGATTTTTTTTTTTTTTATTTATTTTAATCTTGTTTTCCTTTTTTTTTTTTTTTAAAATTATCCTATTTTTCTTTAATTATAAGACATTCAAAAACATTTTATTGCTAAATGTGCATGTATAACATATACTAATACTATATATATAAATATATCAAGAAAATTCACAAAGTCATAAATTTTTACGGCACCGCCCCGGAGATAGGGGGAGTCACCCGAGGGCACGGGGACACAGATTCCACGCATTCCCTGCTAGTGGAGCATTCCCGCGAAGAGTTCTCGCCCTCTTTCATTCCCAGAATTCCACGGTAATATAGATGCACATGCCGCACTCCCGTCAGCGCCCGAGATCTCGGCGAAGATAACGAGACATCAGAGTGGTGCTTAGGTGGACCTGCGTCCAAACGGGTTGAGGTCACTTGAAAGTATTGCTCCAGATGACCAGTTGTCAGATGACCAGATCTCAGATGACCACATCTCAGATGACCAGATCTCAGATGCATAGATGTCAGATGACCTTATCTCAAAAGAATGAATTTCAGAAGACCAGATCTCAGAAGAACGAATGTCACATGACCTTATCTCAGATGAATGGATGTCAGATGACCAGATCTTAGATGAATAGTGTCAGATGACCAGATCTTAGATGAATAGATGTCAGATGACCAGATTTCAGATGAGCGGATGTCAGATGACCAGAGCTCAGATGAACGGATGTCAGATGACCAGATCTCAGATAAATGGATGTCCGATTACCAGACCTCAGATGAAAAGATGTCAGATGACCAGATCAGAGATGAATAGATGTCAGATGACCAAATCTCAGATGAATAGATGTCAGATTACCAGAGCTCAGATGAACGGATGTCAGATGACCAGATCTCAGATAAATGAATGTCAGATGATCAGATCTCAGATGAATGGATGTCAGATGACCAGATCTCAGATGAACGGATGTCATATGACTAGATCTCAGATAAATGGATGTCAGATGACAAGACCTCAGATGAACGGATGTCAGATGACCAGATCTCAGATGAATGGATGTCAGATTACCAGATCTCAGATGAATGGATGTCAGATGACCAGACCTCAAATAAACGGATGTTAGATGACCAGATCTCAGATGAATTGATGTCAGATGACCAGATCTCAGACGACTGGGTCTGTTATGACGGCATCTGACACGAATGAAATTCAAATGAACACACTTCTGTAGATCCCGTCTCATATGGCCCCTTCTCAGGTGACTGAAACTCATATGACTGGGTCTTAGATGACTTGGTCTCATATGACTTGGTCTCAGATGACATGGTCTCATATGACTGGGTCTCAGATGACATGGTCTCATATAACTGGGTCTCAGTTGACAGGGTCTCCCATGACTGAATCTCAGATGACTGAGGTGCAGATGATTGGATGTCTGATGACTGAGGTGCAGATGATTGGATGTCTGATGACTTGACGTCGTACGAATGGATCTCCAATGGCGCGTTGGGCGACGACTCGATCTCAGATACTTGGACCTCAGACGACCGGATCTCAGATCTCAGATGACCACATCTCAGATGCCCGGATGTGAGATGACTCCATCTCAGGTGATGGGATCTCAGATGGGCAGAGCTGGGATGACCGGGTTTCAGGTGAGTGGATCTTGCATGAGTGGATCTCAGTTGATGATTGGATGTCTGATGAATGGATGTCATAGAATTGGATTGCAGATGACCAATTGTCTGTTGAATGGATATCATAGAATTGGATTGCCGATGACGAATTGTCTGATGCATGGCTATCATAGAATTGGATTGCAGATGACCAATAGTCTGTTGAATGGATATCATAGAGTTGGATTGCCGATGACCAATTGTCTGTTGCATTGCTATCATAGAATTGGATTGCAGATGACCAATTGTCTGTTGAATGGTTATCATAGAATTGGATTGCAGATGACCAATTGTCTGTTGCATTGCTATCATAGACTTGGATTGCAGATGACCAATTGTCTGTTGAATGGCTATCATATGAGTGGATCTCATAAGGGAGTTCCTAAGTTTCCTCTCTGTAAGAAAAAAAAAAGATTGGAAAAACTATTATTAATAACATTGTAAGATTACACATTAACACATACGTCAACACACACACACACACACACAAAAACACACACACACCCACACCACATACGCAGTGAGAGATATGGATATAATGTGAGGGAGACAGAAAGAGAGATAGAAACACATTAAAAAAATATGTATATACATAGTATGATATCATATATATTATAAGTGTGAGAATGTGTTTATTTGTGTGTTTGTTTCGCAGTCGCTACTCCATGGCTTGATGGATATCGACCAAACCAGGCACACATATCTATCTTTATCCAGCATGAAATTAAAAATTATAATTTTACTGAAACAATCCTTTCAGGTTCGGGGGCCCCTAAATCCATTTTCCTGAAATGAGCTATAGAAATAAAAGATTAAACATAAGCTAGTGCATGGGAGGTTGATCTGGACCAGTGGTTCTTAACCTTCCTAATGCTGCGACCCTTTAACAGAGTTTCTTTATGTTGTGGCGACCAACAAACGCAAAATTATTTTCGTTGCTATGTAATAACTGTCCAGTATATGTGTTTTCCGATGGTCTTAGGCAACCCTTGGAAAATGGTCGTTCGACCCCCCCCCCCCCATAGATTTTTTTTATGTTGTGGCGACCAACAAACGCAAAATTATTTTTGTTGCTATGTAATAACTGTCCAGTTAATGGGTTTTCCGATGGTCTTAGGCAACCCTTGGAAAATGGTCGTTCGGCCCCCCCCCCCCCAAAGCGTTGAGAACCGCTTATCTAGACCAAATTTCAAACACATACTTATGATTATCCATATTCGAATTTTGAACGGAATTTCTCTCAAAATATCCACTCCTTCGAGGCAGTGACCCCCAAATTCATTTTTTTCCCCCTACTGACATGTATATCAATCCCAGTTGGCATCAGGCTTAGACAACACTATAGGTCATTACGCGAATATAGGCAAGGCTTGGTAGTTATGACATAACTGATATAAAATTTCAGTTTATTCAAGAGTAATAATAATAATAATAATAATACTGATAATAATAATAATAATAATAATAATGAGGCTTATTTGAAAATCCCGCTTCATCCCCAAAGGCTCGAAGCGCGGTACAAAGTCATACTACCCACCCTATTCGGGGCCGTTCTAGAATTTTCCAGAAATTTAGATAACTTTAAAGACTAAATCTCCGACAGTTTCCGAGCATTTTTTAAAGGTGACATCTTCGAAATGTAATTGAGATCTAATGTTATGTGTTCTGAGAGTTTAAGAACAACAAATGTGTCACGAATCAGATGATTTTTTTTTTGGTTGAGATTTTCTTTTTTGGTTTCCCTCCCATACAACTAACTGTCTGATTTCGTGGTGGCCACCCATTGGTCACACGCGGCACACCACGTGAGCATTTCCCGCCGCTCGGCCCTTCACATCTCGTTGAATTAAAAGAGTTTGCTCGCTCCGCGCGAAAGCAGACGATGCCGACGGATAGCAAATCTCGCAGGGGGGCTCGCTGTCGCCGAGATCTCCCGATACTAGCGTCGCGAAACTTAGGGACTTGTCTACACGTGTTTGCTGACGTCCACTTTTTATATCTCCACCCCTTGTTTATTTACGTGTTTGAAATCCAACCGGAAAGATCGCGTGCACATTTTTTTATCCGTCTCTCTCATAAACAGTTTAGGTTGGACGCCATAATGGCAACAGTTGGATGAACGGGTCGTGACGTCAAACATACTTTATCTCATATATGAATTAGATACCTAGAAGAAGGAAACAGCCTTAAAATGTATTTATCTTTTAATAAAAAAAAAAAAAAAAAAACAAGTTTCATTATACAAACAGGCGATGATGTGGCTAGTTTCGGCGTTTACCATCGCTGAGCATTGTTGAAATCATCACCACAATTGATTCAAGAATTACATTTGAATATATCGGAAGTGTTCTCATCGTTGGGAAACTGTTTCAAAGAGTTGTTCTGTTTTGTTGCTTGAAGCGCCAGTTTGAATGGTCAAAACACGGGGCGTCGTAATAAGCATGTCTGCGAACAGGAAAGCCTTATCAGTTGAATTCATATAATGAATTTTATAACAGACATTTTCTTCCGTCTGTCAAAATGGAACACTTCATGCGGCTGTTTCTTATAGACCCTTCTTGTCAGCTATCAAATTCGATCATTTCTTCCTGCTGCCAAAATGGAACCTTCTTCCCAGCTGTCATAATGGCCCCTTCCTATCAGCTGTCATAATGGACCCTTCCCGTCAAATGTCGTAATGGACCCTTCCATTCAGCTGCCATAATGGACCCTTCCATTCAGCTGTCATAATGGACTCTTCCATTCAGCTGTCATAATGGACTCATCCATTCAGCTGTCATAATGGAATCTTCCATTCAGCTGTCATAATGGACTCTTCCATTCTGCTGTCATAATGGGCTCTTCCATTCAGCTGTCATAATGGACTTTTCCATTCAGCTGTCATAATGGACTCTTCCATTCAGCTGTTATAATGGAACCTTCTTGACGGCTGTCAAATTAGATCATTTCTTCCTGCTGCCATAATTGACCCTTCCTGTCAGATGTCATAATGGAACTTTACTTTCATCTTTCATGATGGAACCTTCCTGTCAGCTGTCACAATGGACCCTTCCATTCAGGTGTTATGATGGACCTTTCCTGTCTGCTGTCATAATGGACCCTTCCTGTCTGCTGTCAAAATGGAGCTTTACCCCTGAATGTGTTGTCCCACGGAAAATAAAAATCGACTATTCCTGTAAGACTGCTCTCATATAGAACTAGACCTTGTGTTAAAAGTACTAGACCTGATAAGTGGCATATCGGACTAACGAGCTCTCATCCATTTACATTAAAACAAATTACTGTGCCGCAATTTTTTTCGAATTTCTCCTCAGAGCATAAACCATTAATTCCCCCCCCCCCCAAACTCCACGTCATTAATGCTCACTGTGTGACTCCCAGCTCAAAACTTGAGAACCTCGAGCCAAAGCCAATCCGCTCACAGCACGAGACACAACCAGGCATTTAGTGCTCCTTGTGCTAGCCCCAGCTCAAAAACGTGAGAACCCCGAGCCAAAGCCAACCCGCTCACAGCACGAGACACAACCAGGCATTTAGTGCTCCTTGTGCTAGCCCCAGCACAAAATAGGTGAGAACCCCGAGCCAAAGCCAACCCGCTCACAGCACAAGGCACAACTAGGCATTTAGTGCTCATTGTGTGACCCCCAGCCGAACGTCATAACAAACTGTCACTCACTGTTACGACCCCTGTAAACACACGGCCCCGGTGACCCCCTTCAAGTAGCACGTGTCTTGGCCAAGCGGTACAATACGGGTCCTTGTCCCAGTGTCAGCAAGGGGGGGGGGGCTTCTCCCGGAGTTTAGGAGATGGAGTCGAACACTTCAGTCGCTTCATTTTGTTTACAACAGTCAAGGGGTTGTTCTCAGGATTAAGTTATATTAACTAAAATGGAAGAGATTTTTTTTTTTTTCCCATTTGGTAGCACATAAAGTTAAACTTTAAGTGACGTCATATCACCAAGGCGTAGTCTGACCGAAGAAGTCCTCTCTAAATTATAGAAGTCTGATTGAAATGCTCGGAAATGTTCAGTGCTGAGATGGTACACAATCCGGAAATATTACCCTATCCGATAAATAGAATTCGGACATATATATACACAGAAACCGTAAAGCTGCACAAATCCGGCCCTATACCTGCTACAGGATATACAATCTGGACATATATCTGGTATTTGGCGCAGAATCTGAAAGTATATCTGGTATAGGGTGCCGATTCCGGAAATGTATCTAGTATAGGATACAGATTCCTGACATAAATCTGGTATAGGGTGCACAATCCGAGCCTTGTTCTATGACACTCAAGACAACCTCCGCTGCCCCCCCCCCGCGGGAGGCTCATCTGCACACCGTACACACAGTCCGTGCACGCCCTCCACGCCCTCCACGCCCTCCACGCCCTTTAGGCACTTTTACACCCCTCATTAAAAGTGCAAGTACGTAGGAGACAGGTGTTTCTGTGGGGTAAGTGTAGCGACCGCGAGAGCGAGCCATGATCGTGGGAGAGGGGAGATTGAGAGAGCGAGCCAATCTCGGGGGAGAGGAGAGATGGAGAGAGCGAGCCATCATCGTGGGAGAGGAGAGATGGAGAGAGCGAGCCATCATATTGGGAGAGGGGAGATGGAGAGAGCGAGCCATCATCGTGGGAGAGGGGAGATGGAGAGAGCGAGCCATCATCGTGGGAGAGGGGAGATGGAGAGAGCGGCGGTCGAATTCCGACACACAGTAGGAAGTATAGTTCAAACTTACTGGTAATAAGAGGGACACACACTGACGGACTTAAAAATCACAGACGGAAATACAATCATCGGCCCCCGTACAATCATTGGCGGCCGTACAATCATGATCGGATTTACACTCATGGGCGGCCGTACAATCATAGGCGGAGTTTCAATCATGGGCGGCCGTACAATCGAGGGCGGCCGGACAAATACAGGCAAAGCTATTGTCATGGACGGAAGTATAATCATGGACGTACTTACAATCATCGATGGAGGTTTAATAATGGATGGACGTTCAAACATGGATAGAGGTACAATCATAGGCGGACTTACAATCATGGCTGGACTTACAATAATGGAAAGGCGTGCAATTGGGGAGGGACTTAAAATCATGAAGGGATATACAGTCATTGAGGGACGTACAATCATAAATGAACGTACAATCATGAATGGACGTACAATCATTCGGTGCAATCATGTACCGCCAGGCAATCATGGATGGATTGTAGGTGCAGACAAAGAAAGAGCGACAGCAAGGTTTAAACAGAATTGATTGACAGATTAGTGGATAGAATCGTAATGGCGTTTCGACCAAGAGGACATGTGATAAAGTATGACGATGCCAAAAAAAAAAAACCCAGACTTCGCCACGGTATTGTTTTTTCTTCTAATTATTTTTGACACATCTTATGTTGTAATATAACTTTTTTTAAAACTTGAGTTGTTAAAACTATTTCCCGTGAAGAAATGCTTCATGTTTCAATAAGATCAGCGGTTCTGAACCCGTGGGTCGCGACCACTTTCCGGGTCAAACGACACTTACGCAGGGGTCGCATAAGACCATCGGAAAAAAACATATCTTTATGAAGTAGCAAAGAAAATAATTTTATGGTTGGGGTCACCACAACATGAGGGTCGCGGCATTAGGAAGCTTGAGAACCACTGAATTAAATCATTGGTGTCGTTTACTTAAAGTAACTTTATTCTAATAACTTTATAGGACCTATTGGATGGCCCAAATGAAAAAAAAATAATAAAAAAATAAATAAAACCTGCTTAGAGAGTACCGGTACCAGAGGATTGTTCTTTTCGTGAGAAGTACTTCAAATAATGGAGAGGGTTTTGGCGGTACCTTTGGGTTTGGGGTGGGGCAGGGGGTGCTCTCAAGCACACAGAACAAACAGAACATACTTTCAAGATAAATAAAAAAAAAACTATTTTCTCAGCGTGGGAGAGCGAGATGGTGGTAGTTTGGAGGGGTGGGGGGCAGGGGGGGGCAGTGCAACTAATTACCGCGCCACAATCTACGCTTATCAACTGCAATGATAAGACTCGAATAATTATTATAGCGCTTAACTGCTATTTGAAATGCAGGTTTTTTTTTTTTTTTAGTGTTTATCGCGCAGAAGTGACCGCATTAACCAAGTACTTACTTCCAGAGGTGAAAAAAATGGTCGCGGTCAGGGGGGAGTATTGGGGTAAAGGGGGGGGGGGGGCACTAAAGTGAAAAAATAATTCTTAAAATGTCTGCTATTTGAAATGCAGGTTTTTTTTTTTTTTTAGTGTTTATCGCGCAGAAGTGACCGCATTAACCAAGTACTTACTTCCAGACGTGCAACAAATGGTCGCGGTCAGTGGCGAGTATTGGAGTAAAGTGGGGGAGGGGGCACTAAAGTGAAAAAATAATTCTTCAAATTGTATAGTTTTTTTTTGTTTGTTTTTTTTTAAACCCACTGTTAATGAACAGAAAAACCATTCCTGGACATTATTTTAAAAATAAGGTCGAGAGGAAAAGGATTGTTTTCTAGTTTAATTTCTGCTAACTTAAATTACCATGGCTTCTATAACCTAGTTACCATGGCTTCTATAACCTAGTTACCAGGGCTTCTATTGCCTAGTTAACATGGCTTCCATAACCTAGTTACTAGGGCTTCTAGCCTAGTTACCATTGCTTCTTTAGCCTAGTTTCAAGGGCTTCTTTAACCTAGTTACCAGGGCTTCTGTAACCTGGGTACCAGGTCTTCTATAACCTAGATATCAGGGCTTCTAACCTAGTAACCAGAGCTTCTATTCTAGTTACCATGGCTTCTATAACCTACTTACCAGGGCTTCTATCATAGGTTCCATGACTTCTACAGCCTGGTTATCAGCTCATCTATCCTTGTTATTATGGATTCTATAAGATACCAGGGCTTCTATAGCTTAGTTACCAGAGCTTCTGTAGACTAGTTACCAGTGCTGCTATGTCCTAGTTACCATGGGTTCTAGCCTAGTTACTAATGCTTCCAGCCTAAAGTCAATATCATTGGCTGTAATCCGTAAACCCATTTAATGCACAGTTGCGAATGTAAAGAATCAGTATAAATAATTAAGTAGTTCCAAAATTGGTGCAAGCTTAAAAATATCAAGTTTTTTTGACGTGGTTTATTATATGAGATTGAACCCCCCCTCCCCGAAATTTAGTCACCCCCCCCTTTTATGAAAGGACCATCAGCTGGTCCAACATATGCACCCCAGGTGAAGACGTCATTACGTATCTGATTAAGCTTTCAGAAAGCCGTTTTGTCATCGGGTTGTTTCAGGCATGACTGCAAGATTAGCAGTTTAGCGGCGATAAATTTGTCATCATGGTTGGCATTACAGACTTCAGCATGAGTAGACAAAAGTCATATAAGGCCATGAGAACATGTTATCGGGGTCTTACTGGACTTAAAGTCTCAGAGCCGTTTCTCGAAACAGAAAATAGGGCTACTTTTATTTAATAGTAATTTGGAGAGATAGCACCTTGGGTCAAAACCCTGGTTCCCATAGGGTCAAAACCCTGGTTCCCATAGGGTCGAAACCCTGGTTCCGATAGGGTCAAAACCCTGGTTCAGATAGGGTCAAAACCCTGGTTCAGATAGGGTCAAAACCCTGGTTCAGATAGGGTCAAAACCCTGGTTCAGATAGGGTCAAAACCCTGGTACCCATAGGGTCAAAACCCTGGTTCAGATAGGGTCAAAACCCTGGTTCAGATAGGGATAAAACCCTGGTTCAGATAGGGTCAAAACCCTGGTTCAGATAGGGTCAAAACCCTGGTTCAGATAAGGTCAAAACCCTGGTTCAGATAGGGTCAAAACCCTGGTTCCCATAGGGTCAAAACCCTGGTCAGATGGGTCAAAACCCTGGTTAGGGATAATTTTAAGGTTCATGTAAGGTTTAGGGATACATTTACTCTTATTTCCTAAATCATTTTGGACATAAGTTCACGGGTCGCGGCAATCAAGATGGCTGCCACGGTGCTATTTCTCCAAATTTACCGAAACCAGGACCAGGGCTTTAGTATAACTCAACATGGGTTTTTACCTATTAGATTTTTTATCGAAGGTAGCTGAGGACCTTCTAGAAACAGCTTCAGTTTTTTCTTTAAATTAAATAAGGCGCCACACAGCGAGCTGAAACGTCTGTCTAAGTTGAAAAACATTGTGACGTCTCCTAGTACGTCGCGTCTAAACAGTGGACGACTTGATGCAATGACGCAAAGAGAAAGAGAGTGAAAAGACTTTTCTTGTTTTTCTCAACGCCGAATCCATCGCCAAATGGATGATTGTGATGGCAACTCAACGAAATGTTTGTGTTTTCTTTACGTTTCTGTTGGTGCTGAGATGTTAGCAGATGAAGTTTTTTGCTGCTACGTTTTCACCGCTGGTGCGCAATGTTTAAAAGTCATTTTAATTGTATTAAATCGCTTAACAGGGTCCAGTGGTCGGCAAATCGCGGCTCGCGAGCAGCATGGTGATCTTTATCGACCCATGAGTGTGGCTCTTTTGACAAGTGGGTTTGTCGTTAACGTACGACCAGACGTAGAAAACATACGACCAGACGTAGAGAAAATCCGATAACGAGTAAATAATGTCTTTATACAGCCTACGATTTCACATACCGACGAGAGTGAGAGTACCGTGTTTTTCAAATGTTTGGTACGATATCAACATATGAAATCTATCAAATGTTTGGTACCACATCGACATAAGGAATCTCTCAAATATTTGGTACCCTATCGACATATGAAAGATATCAAATGTTTGGTACCAATATTGACATATCAAATCGATCAAATATTTGGTACCATATCACATATAAAATCTATCAAATGTTAGGTACCATATTGACATATCAAATTTATCGACCTATGGAAATAAGTCAAATGTTTGGGTGCCATATCGACAAATTTAATCTGTTAAATGCTATACATGTCTAGTAATCTTCAAGTGTTGCGGTCCCTTCCTCAGGTATGACCATTCTTTAGATCACCCTTTTATTTTAATTTTATTCTTTACATTTTGCATTTCCCATTGACATAATCCTTGTCATGCTTAGACTGATTTCAATGTTTCCTTTTAAAAAATCCTTTTTTTTTAATTTTGGATTTGAAAAACTTCCTGTCTGCTCGGTTCAGGTTTGATTTTATTCTCATTAATTTTTTTTTTTATTTTTCTTAATTAACTGAAAAAGGCTTTCAAGGCGATCCGTCTTTGTGATTAATTTCTGTCTTGATTCAAAGTTGAACATATTAATGTCCTCATTATTTCGTTTAATGATCATAAGTGAATGATTTAGCCAAAGTTTACATTGAAAGTTGAAGATTTTTTTTTATATTTTAAATCATCTTTCTTTATCCCTAGATTATCTATTTAACCTTTCCCTTCCCCCCCCCCACACACACACAAACTAACACATTTTAAATATAAAATGATAATGGGTAAACATTTATTAACGAAACTATTTACATAGCTATTTATTTTCAATCTTAAATTTTACATTGAAATTTTAATTTTTTTTTTTTTTTTTTAATTCATTTTTTTTTTTCCCTAGTTTTTTTTTTTAACCTTTCCCTTCCCCCCCCCCCACACACACACAAACTAACACATTTTAAATATAAAATGATAATGGGTAAACATTTATTAACGAAACTATTTACATAGCTATTTATTTTCAATCTAAAGTTAACTCAAGCCAAAGTGTAACTGTAATTTTTCAACGCATAAAGAGGCATAGAATTAAGCCACACTGGCTGCTCTCGAATGATAAATAATGAAAATAAAAAGTATTTTTTTTTATTTAAAAAAATTAAAAAAACAATAAATCAACTATTTTTTTAAGCAGGGTTATTCGTATTGTATTATTATTATTATTATTATATAAATATAATAAGAAATGTATGTTATCCTTGTCAACGCATCAAAAACACGCCACTGCGTTGTCGTAACAAAATAAGACCAAAACAAAATGTCAGCTTCAAATTGTGTTGATTAAACTTAAGTCCTTTATAGTGATGGCGTCACTGATGGCGTTCCAGAGATGTCAGTGGACTCGGTGAACGAACTGTCGAGATCATATAGTGACAGATGATGGAATTAAAGATCATAACGTGACATAACTTAGAGGGACAAATCATAGTGACAGATCATAGAATTTGAGGCCCTAAAGTACAGACCGCAGAGTGACAGCTCCTAGATTGAGAGACCCTAAAGTGACAGACCGTAGAGTGACAGCTCATTGAGTAGGAGATCCTAAAGTGACAGACTGTAGAGTGACAGATCACAAAGGGACAGACTCTAAAGTGACAGATCATAGAGTGACAGACTCTAAGATGGCAGATCAGAGAATGGCATATCATAGAGTGACAGACCCTAAGATGGCAGATCAGAGAATGGCATATCATAGAGTGACAGACCCTAAGATGGCAGATCAGAGAATGGCATATCATAGAGTGACAGACCCTTAGATGGCAGATCAGAGAATGGCATATCATAGAGTGAGAGACCCTAAGATGGCAGATCAGAGAATGGCATATCATGGAGTGAGAGACCCTAAGATGGCAGATCAGAGAATGGCATATCATAGAGTGAGAGACTTTAAGATGGCAGATCAGAGAATGGCATATCATGGAGTGAGAGACCCTACAGTCACAGACCATAGAGTGAAAAAGTCCTATTGTAAATTTAGAAGAGATTCTATCTCTCAACCCCCTTTTAAAGAACCGCAACTCTATAGTGAATCTGAAAGTATATGACCTAATGACCTCTCGATCTAGTGGTGTCAAAGTCATGACGGAGGCTAGAACTCACACCCGTGGGTGCAGAAAGAACTCAGTAAACCTCTATACCCCCCTCCCCCATACATCCCACCCCCGGACACGCCCCTTTTCTTGCGTATCGTGGGAGAATTCGCTAATTTAATGTTTTCAGCTAAAATGTGTCTGAGTTATCTCCCTTTAGATAATGTGTCTAATAATTGTCTTTTTGTAGTCATTTAACGTAGCACCACAGACCCAAGGGTTTGGGGTTCTAGAGAGAAAGGGGGCAGAATTTAGGGGCAGTTTCTTTTTTTTTTTTTCATTTAGAAAGTCTTTATTGAAATAGTGTTTTAAGTTTTCTTGGCCTAACAGACTTTAAGAAAAAGGCAGACACTGGTAAAGTTACACGAAATTTTGCGTTGAAATTGTTCAAATCAGAACCATAAGTTACAAACCGCTTCTGTTTCTTCGTATTACTTAAAACTTTAATTGCTGAAGTATCAAGTATCATTATTACTTACTACCATTATCATTTTAAAAATAAATAATTTTGCTTTTGAGTTCTTGTTGTATTGTTGAATTTTATTGTGGTGCTCATTATTTTTATTTATTGCTAGCCAAAATACCCGGCATTGCACGGGATTGCATTAGGACCCCGATTCTGGTGTGACCCTGATCCCATTGGGACCCCGATCCCATGTCTGACACCGATCTCGGTGCAGTCCCATTTGCAGGTGTGATACCGATCCCGGAGGATCCATTCAAGGCTAGGATCCCGATCCTGGTGGGATACCGTTTTCTGGTGGGATCCTGATCCCGTTGGGATAAAGATTATGATGGGATCCCGACCCTATAGTTTCTATTCCAAATATATAAAATTACTCAGTGTTACTGAGAGAAAAGTAAACTCCGGACAGTATAGAAATGAACATAACATAACTAACATTTCAAAATTCCCTTAGATCCCACTACTTATCCCTTTGGAACAATTTAGAACTTTCTGGAAAATTCTAGATTAAATTTAATAACCTGCTCGAAACATGTGTAAAAACGACTTATCTGATTATTTTTTCAAATATAAAAATCTCCAACAAATGCCATAATTATAATCCTTTTTTTTAATAAGTTAATCGAGGGGCAACGTGGGGCCATTACATAAATGTACCGATATAGTTATACCTGAGCTAGTTGGCCCTATAAAATCAGACAAATAAATAATAAAGTTAAAATTTGTCCCATAAAAATCTACTTAAAAATGCCATAGATATAACTTTTTTTTAAATGATCGAACTTTCCGGAAAATTCTAGATTGGATATTATTAGTTTTAAATGCACCGATATTTCAATACAGCCAATGAAGGGTATTACTACAACGCTAGGCCTAGATCCATCAATTCACATAGAATCTATCGCATTGTCTAAACCTTTTGATATTTATATGGCTTATATAAGGAAAAATGACCTGTGTCCCCTAGGCCAAGAGAAATGGATATTATGAGTTCAGTACCTTTCGGTATTTGAATATGGATAATAAAGTATATGTGTACTAAATTTTGGTCAAGATCCATCTACTCATGTACGAGCATATGTTTCTATTATTTTTATAAAGCTCATATTAGGAAAAAACCGAATTCGGGGCCCCTTGCCCCCAACGGAATGTTATAAAAAATTCATAACCCCTTAAGAATTCCTTCTGGATAATGATGGATATATATGTACCAAGTTTGGTCAAGATCCATCAATCCTTGTAAAAGCCTGTGTGGAACAAACCCACAAACCAACAAACAAAATTTCACTTTATTTATAAATAGAGTGAAATATATGATATGATTAAGATTTTTATCATCCCTTATTTATTATCATTACTATTTCTATTGTTATTATTATTATTATTATTAATGTAATTATTATTTGTTATTAAGGTTTTTTATCATCCCTTATTTGTTGTTATTCCTATTTCTAGTGTTATTAATATTATTATTAATGTTATTATTATTTATTATTCAAATTTTTTATTATCCCTTATTTGTTATTATTATTATTTCCATTGTTGTTATTATCATTATTATTGCTGTTATTATAATTGTTATCGTTGTTATTATAATTGTTATTATTTTGTGTAATTAGTTCTATTGCACGAATCAATCTCCACTCCATCCAACTCGTGGTTGATAACTTTATCTTCACGCTTTGACTGAATGGAGGATTATTGATATCCATCTTATGTCTGATATTTAACACAAAATAAGTTTCCAATGTTTTATTTAACCCTTTGTTAGTACCACCCATCAATTTCTGTCGACCATCCGCCCCTTCGTGTTAGTATTCCGACACCCCCCCCGCCCCGGTCTGAAAGGTAACACACACCATTACTGAAAGGTAACACCCCCCCTACTGAAAGGTAACACCATTTGACTTGAAAACCGTGGCACCCCTGCTACCCTCCAGATGAGCACAGCAGAGACGTACTTACTCTGAGAATGCTCTAGACACTTGAGGGAATTCTTGCTGCAGGACTCCCCGGAGGGATCAA